GGAACAGGTGTGTCTGGGACTGTCGGGGCAGGCACGGCCGCACCACTGGCATTCTGCTCAAACCGAGCATAGAAAGCATTGAGTGCACCAGGAAGGGATGTATCTTTGTCCGCTATCTTACACTGTTTCATTTTGTAGCCCGTAACGTCATTTAGGCATGGCCATAGGCAGCAGGACTCTGTTTGGTAGGTTTGGGCCTCTAACTTGCAAGCAAGATATCCCTTCTCCTCTATTCAATTCCTTTCTTTATGTAAGTAAACGTACATTTGTCTTCTTGACTACCTGCTGTACCTGCATGCCTACCTTCAGAGACTGGTGTATGAAGATACCCAGGTCTTATTGCACATTCCCCCTCTCAATTTATAGCAATTTTGATAATAATCCGCCTTCATATTTTTTGCTCCCAAAGTGGATAACCTCCCACTTTTCCAAATTGTACTGCATCTGCCGTGCATTTGTCCATTCACTCAACTTTTCCAAATCACCCTGAAGGAACTGTACATTCTCCTCACAGCTCACCCTCTCACCCAGCTTTGTGTCATCTGCAAATTTGGAAATATTCCATTTATTTCCCTCATCTAAATCATTTATACATATTGTGAATAGCTGGGTTCCTGGCACTGATCCCTGCGGTACCCCACTAGTCACTGTCTGCCATTTGGAAAAAGACCAGTTTATTTATGTGTAACTTAGGATCCACCCTGAAGAAAACATAAAATTAACAGTCTATTTGTAGTGCTTTTGAATCTAAAACCAAGTATATATAGTTATTCATTTTGTCCTGTATTCATAAAGTCTCAGTGTGATACCTGTGATTGCACATTATCTGCTGGTACCTTGAAGTCGGGTTGTAGTTTGAGATGCTAGTCATATACAATCCATCGAATAACTCTCTGTGAGGCATGACACGTGGAAACGATTATCTTTATTTGGGAAAATGCTGTCTCACAGAGGTATTTGAAGTTAAATTAAGCTTTCACTTTAAAAGCACAGGTACTTTTCTCCTTTTACAAATCCCCAAAAAATGATTATCGCTTGATCTGACTTTCAACTCAATATCATTTTGCACAGTAATTATCTCCATATCGAGTCCTTTGTTTTGTTAATCAAACACCTTACGGAATTTGGTAACCAATACCCCCAACGTTTATGAATTGAAGACAAACGTGACTTGTTTCCATCATCTCTAATTCCTTCCTCTAAGGCTTGCTGGTGGATTATGTAGTGGTAATTGAAAAAAAGGAGGGTAAATCAGGTCTATTTCTGCAATATGCAACAGAACACACATTTGTGTAGCTTGTGCACCAGCAGTAGAGATGGATATCAGTTTTTTGATTGGAATGTTTTTCTCAAGCGTGTACCTTTTGAATTTATTGTAGCTACCTTCACCCCTTGTTCTCTCTTGAAGGGGCAAGGGTCAAATGATCCTTTTCAGTTGTCATGTCCTTACAAATCATGTGGACAAAAATAGTCAGCTGGGCTGTGTGATCATGTCTATGGATTCATCTAACTGCAGTGAGAATCATTCACAGTCTTTCATGTCCTGCCATAGCTGCTAAAAGACATCACTGAACAACCTTGCTGTTTGAAAGCACCAAGTGACATGTTCTGGATTGCCATCATTAGTTCTTCCGTGTTCTTTAAGAGTCAGTAACCACAGTTATTACTTAATTAATTACTTCACCATCTATGAATGATTTCTCGAGTTTTGCTTGAAGATGACAAATGTAAAATCATATTTAGTGCAGGCCTTACCCTTGGCTGCTGTTTATATAAAAAAAAGACTGTTGAGCTTTCAAAACAGCCTTCAGTTTGTCAAATTTGACTGTCCAATGAATACTGTTCAAGGAAAAACGATCTGAATTTACTGTGCATCATTGTGCTTTTAACGTGGTGACATTTAAGGCAAACACTATTATCTTTTACAGTTGTGAACAATAATTCATTCTTCCAATTCCACGTGAAAGTTGTACATTTTTGGTTTCTTTTTAAGATGGTCCAGATTTGTCACGCATTACTTCTGAAGTCATAGCAAACTCAAAACATTAGTTCTGTTTTTCTCTCTCCACACATGTTGCCAAACCTGCTAAGTTTCTCCAGCATTTTCTGTGTTTTTTCCAGATTTCCAGTATCCACATCACTCATCAATACTGCTTCACTCTGTGATTCTTAACATCACTCTGCTGTACGTAGGCCTCCAAATCGTGGCTCTGGAACATCAGAATGTTGCTGGCTGCTTCCAAGAGTGGAAGGTCATTTCTGTGGTCGCCATTCTTTCCAGGGACACTGGTCAGCTTGTATTGGTTAGATATTGGACATGGCAGTGTTCCTTGTAATTTTTCTTCTTACTGCACAGGCCAATTAGATAAACAGCTGAAGGAAAATGTGTAGGTCTACACAGAATACTCAGTCAAGTGGCACTAGCTGAGCTGCTCTTGCAGACAGTCCAAATGGACATGAAGGGCTAAACAGCCTCCTATGTTCCTAGTATTGTAATATACTGCCTTTACAAATCAATTCTTACTGCAATTCTTATTTTTTTTGTATTGACACCACAGAACTTGCTTTCCTCTGCAATGATAGTCAATGTGGATCAAACTGAAACACGATACAATACATTGGCAAAGCCTCTTGAGAGCACGCACTTTGCTCTAGCAACGGGCTTCTGGAAGCAGAGGTCGCGCAGTAGCATGATGATCAATATGCACACAGGCATGTAGTGAAATCAGCTGTCAGAGGCTCGGTGGATCTAAGTATTGGAGATCACAAAGCTGGGTCATCAGCAGTTGAAGTGGAATAGGATCAAGTCAGCAGGTGGTTTGTTTCAAGGGCAAAGTGAGGTGGAGAATTCATGAGGGGAAATGTGAGAGAAATTAGAGAAAGATGAGAATTCAGGTTTGGGGTGAGGTAACTTTGGAGAAAATTTAGCCAGGTGAACTAGTGGAAGCAAAGTACACAGCAAGAAGAGCTGATCGGATGGTCTTGATACTAGTGACAAGGAAAACCATGAGCTCTATACACTTCTTGTTGGAGATGAGAATTGTCGAGTCAAGGGAGAGGGGTTTAAGAGGATATTTTGGAATAGAGAAAGAAAGCCTGGAATTATCTTTGTATTGCAGGATGAATCTGGAAAATTTAACAGGTTTAACAGACAGAGCAGGACTAGATACTGTTTTAGATCATTGAACCAGATCGAGCAGTGGATATGTCAACCACTTGTCAGCCATATATTTTCACTTCTCTGTCTCCCAGGGGGCAGAGCTGTGAGCCAAACTGGGAGGGAGGGGTTGGGGGTTGGCCAACATGACACAATAATTTATTGTGGTTTAGAGTTTCAAATATGGAGGTAAAAAGTGATTGGGAAAATCAGTAGCTGCAGAAATACTGGGGCAATCAGAGAACCAATGATACAGTGAGGATTTTGAAGGTTCTGTTCTGAGTGAATTGGGAGATAGCTTGTTTCAGGAATGGACACAAAGAGAGGTAGGACTAGGGTGTAGAAGAGAAGTGTGGGTGGAAAATGTTACAAGAAAGCCTTTATCTGATTGATACAAAGGGACTACCAAGACCACATGAGATGGGCAACTAACATGGGTGACAATGAGAATTTGTGTTTCTGAAAAGAGAGGTTTATTGAGGATAGTAGGGCTGTGAACTCAGAAGAGAAAGGGCATGATGAACTGAAATGGAGTATAATAGATTTTAATTTAGGACATTCGATGGTCTAATTATTCTCTGTAGGGTAAAAAAAATCTTCCAACTTCTCCTTTGTCCTAATAATCCTACGTCTATATCCAATGCTCAACAAATCACCAATAATTGCAAACAATCGTTCAGAAGTCTAGAACACCAAGGTTCAACTTTCTATAAAGTTTAACTAAGTTTCATAATTTTTCAAAATATTGATATTTTTGTCTTATATTGCTGAAGGAAGATATTTTTCCAGTTTATTTCTTTATTTTGTTAAACAGAATGATATTTATTGTTGTTGTCTGTACCTTCTTGAACTAATCTATTGTCACTTACAATATATCAAAGCACTCTATGCAAAATTTGCATCTATAATGGCAAACATCTTCTCAAGGTATCAATAAATACAAATTTATTAGGCTTACGTGTAAATATTCTGATAATGCAAGCCATCTGTATCCCAATACTGTAAGTCACTTTTAAAATTAAGTAACATAATAAAAAACTAATAAATTCAACTCCAGTGTAATCATTCTCCTCATAATCACATTTAGTTTTGTCAAATCACTACTTTTGAATATTAAAGTAACATTGAGCTCTTTTCAGAATTCCTAGTTTGCATACTTTGTTTATTGCACAATTGGGTTATTGTAAATATACTATGAGTGTACATGACAACAAAGGATATTCTAATTCTAATACTAATTCTTCTAGTTCAACTCTATAGGGCTGGATTTTGCAGTGAGCAGTGAAGCAATGATGCACATGACTGATCTCAGAAAGAGTTGCCCACAAAGATCCAGTGGTGTCTCTGATTGGATTTCCCCTTGGAAACTCTCCAAGACAAAGGAATTTCCAAGATTCCAGTAGCAATGATAACAGCAAGAGGGATAAGTAGCCAATCACATTATAATACTCACAGAGCTCCAGGCTAGCAAGTTTATAAGTTTTATTATCGTTCGTTTCTAACTTAAGTTTTACACAGAGTGAAATAACTAATAATTGGAACTAGGAAGAAGTTAAAATATCACTAGTTCATTTAAAAACCCAGTTCGACTTTATTCACGGAGTTGTAACTTCAATGTTTTTAACAGCAAGGCTAAATAGTGTAGAAGTGGAGCTATTTGCCAACTCATTAATTACTTGGCCATTGCATTTCAACAGCATCCCCTCTGAAAGAGTGCAGAATCACTGCCAGCAACATCCAACTTTCCATATTATTCCACTTATGTGGACTCTGAGAACAACGGTAGCAAATACTAACAGTTGTAGCCATTATCACTGCAAAATCCAGATCATAGCGCACTTACCATTTTTTCTTTCTTCCAGTTCCTTCTTTTCTTCTATTCGTGCTCGCTTGCTACTTTTCTTATGATTTGCAATATTTCGTCTACCTCCTTCTCCTTCATCTTCAGAATCTGAAAATTCCTCATCACGGGCTATTCTTTTATCAGAAGCTCGAACTACAACAAAACCAAAAATAAATTTGTGAAGGCCCTTAATCTGGAATCAGAAAATTTAAAATCCTATGTGTTTATATTATTCATAGACATAAAGTAAGACGGCCAGTCAGACAGATTTTAATTTATACAACGCCTTTCATGACGTCAGGATATCCCAAAGCACTTTGAAATAAATTTAAAGTGCAATCATCATTGCAATGTAGAAAATGCAACAGCACACTTCACACAAGATCTCAAAAATAAAGAGCAGAAACCTGTTAAATGTTTCTTGTGGGATAAATAATGTTCAGGCCAAAAGAAAGAATTCTACACTGCTGAGAAAAAAAAAAGATTGCCATGGAATCTTTTGCTTCTACTTGAAAGGGTGGGCAGGGCCTTTGTTTAATGTCTCACTCAAAAGACACCATCTGATGCAGCATTCCCTCAATATAACATTTTACAGTGCCAGCCTAAATTTTATACTCAAGTCCCTAGAACATTCTGACTCAGGAGGAAGTGCTACCATTAAGCTCTGCTATCTTAGAAGTACACAATCTTAAGAGTCCTGGAAGAAAAGTTGCACAACAGTTAAACCTCAGTTTTCAAATATATTTCTGCTGATACAGCAAGTGTTTTTTTGTGGAAATAAATCATATTGTTTTCTCCCACAAGCTGAAAATCAGAAAATCTAAAGACAGAGGCATTTGAAGCTATTATTTCAAATTGCTGTATTTACTCATAAACTGCAGCAAACATGGGAGAAAAATGGCCTCTGATCGGAGTACCTCCTGACAGAATCATCTTCTTGTACTGCTGGTTTTGTACCCAGGCCACCTGTGTATAGCGGCAAGGACACATTTCCAAATATTTCTTCACACAAGGATAATTTCTGGTTCCACTAGATATTCTCCCTGCCAATCTGCAACCTCCATGACCTCTAAAATATCAAAAAAAATTTGGTATTCTTCCAAATTTGGTTTGTTGCTCATCCCCATTTGTCCATCCCATTTAGCAATCTTGATTCCAAGTTCTGGAATTTCCTTCCTAAGGTTTCCTTGCCTTTCTACATCCGAAGGGCACTCTGCCTTTTCATCTCCCTCTCCTCCTTTTAGGCCTTCTTAACAACTATCTTTTAGTCAACACTTCTGATATCTATTCCTTGGGGCTCATGGCAATATTTGTCTGTTTACATTTCCATGAATTTTTTTTACATTAAAGTTCAACATCCTCAACCCAACATATTTGTGAGTGGCTCTAGACAGAATTTTGCCCTTCCAGGGACTGCTCAGAAAGCAGAAGCAGAGAAACAATCTATGAAACAAACTTGCCGCATTCACATGGGACACTGCTGCACCTTCACACCAGACCTCAACACGTGTTACCTTGCTTCAAGCAAATTACTGTCCACTTGTTTTGCAAAATTAATCATATGCCCATTTTTCTGACACTCAGTTGAAGGCAACTACGTGCACCTAAACTGGAACTCTCTGCTAAGCAAAATAAATTGTGTCCTTATTTCAGATTTCCAGCAACCACAAAGTGCTGATGAGATTCTGTAGGTCTGGCAGCATCTGCAGAGAGAGAAGCAGAGTTAACATTTTGAGTCTGATAATGACTATCCTTCTGAACTGAAAAGGGCTGATATGGTAATTTTATGTCACGGACAGGGATAGGGGATGATCGAATGGGACAGACTATGAGGGTGATCAGACCAAAAGGCAAAGGGAATGCCTATCATGGTAAAAGAGAGATAGAGATGTAAAATTAGTATAAATGACAGGTGTGAAAAGAAGAAAATGGACTCAAACTGCTGATAGCACTCTGGACCCCTGTCCACAGCACAAAAAACACCATTATCCAGCTCGTCCAGTTCTACAGAAGTCATATCTGACTCGAAGTATTCACTCTGTTTCTCTCTCACAGATGCTGCCAGATCTGTCAAGGTCCACCAGCACTTGTCCTCTCAAACATTACTCCCCTACATGTATACTGACTGAAGTAAACCAGCCTTCCTGTGCCTCACATACCACTCCATGCTGACCTTTTCAAACCACTTTCTACCGGTCTTCCATTTTGGTGTCCCACCTTGGCATTACAACAGTGTTAAAGTGAATAGAGTTTGAGCCAATCTAGCAACTCAAAAATTTGCCCCTCATGAGGCATGGTGAGTCACAGGCAGTAGCAGAATTGTATTCAATCACAATCTGTAACCTCATGACTTGGCATATCCCACGCGCTACCAATACTGCCAAGTTGGAGGACAACTTGTATGTGAAACAGTGCAACTGCATTCAAAAAGAAAGAGCTAAGTAATTCCACAAAGAACTGTTCTGTCATAACCATTTGTGAATGTGGTAGATAATTAATCCAATTAACAGAAGAGGAGGATCCACAAAAATCCCATTCCTTCATGATGGGCTGTCTAGCACATTAGTGCAAAAGGCAAGGCAAAAGCATTTGCAACAACCTTCAGCCAGAAGTGCTGAGTGAATGACTAGCTCAGCATCCTCCTGAGGTCCTTAGCATTATGGGTGCTCATCTTTAGACAATTCAATTTACACCATTTGACATGAAGAAACCAATGAAGACACAGGATACTGTAAGACAAAGGGGTTTGACAACTCCAGTGTTGAGGTGAGAAAGATCACCTTTGACATCAAGGGAGCATTCAACCAAGTACTGCATCAAGGAGCTTTCGAAAAATTTAAATCAATGGGATTGGGGGAAGCATCTACACTGTTGGAAGCATACCTAGCACAAAGGAAGATGGTTGTGTTTTTGGAGGTCAATTATCTCAGTCCAGGACTTAAATGCAGAAAATCATCAGGATGGTGTCCTAGACCAAACTATCTTCAGCTGTTTCCATCATCATAAGGTCATAAATGGAGATGTACACTGCCGACTGCATTATTTTCAGCACCATTCCCAACTCTTCAGATATCAAAGCAGCCCAAACTCATATGCAGTAAGAACCCAGACAACATTGAGCCTTGAGCTGATTAGTGACAAGTAACATTTGTGCCATACAAATGCCAAGCACCTCCAAAAGGGAGAAAATCTAACTATTGCCCCATGATGTTTAATGGCACTGCAATCACTAAACTCCCAATATCAACGTCCTGGGGGTGACACTAACCAGGATCTTAACTGGACCAGCTATATCAATTGTGTGGCTATAAAAGCAAGTTAAAGTAGTTTGCAACAACACACCTTTTAACCCCCAAAGCCTGTCCACCATCTACTGGACGCAAGTCAGGATTGTGGTGGAATGCTGTCCACTTGCTTGGATGGGTGAACCTCCAACAACATTCAAAAAACTTGACAACACCTAGGACAAAGCAGCCCACTTGACTGGCACCCCACATACAACTTTAAACGTTCACTCCCCTCACCACCAATGCACAGACGCATCTGCAACAACCACTGCAGCAAATCACCAAAGCTCTTCTGACATCACGTTCCAAACATGTGGCCTCCACCACCTGGAAGGAAAAGGACAGCAGATACATGGAAACACTAAACCTGAAAGTTTCCTCTCAATCCGTACATCACCTTGGCTTGGAAGCATATTGTCAGTCATTCACTATCGCTGAGTCAAAATCCAAGAATTCCACATCAGATTGGGTTTGCCTAATCTATAAAGACTACAATGGTTTAAGAAGGTGGCCCACTACCACCTCCTCAAAGTAAAAAGTGATAGACAATATGTGCTGACCTAGTAAGTGACACACACATCCCCTGAATGAACAATAATAACAATATCATAATAATAACAAACAACATAACAAAAATGCAAAGCAACCTTCTTGCGCAAGATCTACCAGCATTACTCTTTGGATAAAAGAACAGGAAACACAAGAAATCACTAATAAGCTCCTTAAGAGTGGCAGACCTTGGACTCCCAGAGTGAGAGTTATTTGTGGGTTTACATTTCCTAAATATAAAATATAAATAATAAATACATGAAAGCTAATGTTATAAAATATTGATAGACTACCACTAACTTGAAATTCGTTTGTTAGGATCATCATCGTCCTCTTCTCCACTGTTTTCTTGAATAGCGTCCTCTGGAATAGCCTGCATCTGGACACCAGGTGCATGAGGTAGCATACGTAGATTTTCAAATAGCCGGATTCTGCAATGAGATAAGACAAAATACACCATTTTTTTTCCCCAAGTACAATTGTACAATTTTATACAGAACAGGAAAATCTTTCATCTAAAATTAACTTGTCATTTCAGTGAATTATAAAGTTGAAACTCAATTTTTTTTAGACAAAGAACTAAAAGGATTTCATGCATGTGCAAAATGCATATTCCAATCAGTAAAGATGATTTGCAAACTACCGTCATATGCAAGAAAACGATCATAGAAACCCTACAGTGTGGAAACAGGCCATTCGGCCCAACAAATCCACACCGCCCCCCCGAACAGCATCCCACCCAGACCCATTCCCCCCACCCCTGCATTTCCCTTGTCTAACCCACCTAACCTAAACATCCCTGGGCACTATGGGCAATTTAGCATAGCCAATCCAGCTACCCTGCACATCTTTTGACTGTAGGAGGAAACCAGAGCACCCAGAGGAAACCCACACAGACACGGGGAGAATGTGCAAACTCCACACAGACAGTCGCCCGAGGCTGGAATCGAACTCCGGTCCCTGACGCTGTAAGGCAGCAGTGCTAACCACTGAGCCACCGTGCCGTGATGTGATGGGCTGCCAATTACAGAAATCTGATTTTAGTTTCCATTGATTTCAGTAGAAATGAAAACCAACAGTATCTATAACACCAGTATTGTACTGTTACATAAAGTTGAAGTGTCCACCACTTCAGAGTTTAAGTGTTATAAGTGCATGTTAAACCATTTGAGATCAGGAGTTGAAAGATAGACAATTACGCTTACTTACAAAACATATATGGTTACTACATATCCATATTCATTTATGAAATCAACAACACCTGCAAACCCCCAAACTCATCTTTTCTTCCTCAATCTTTAGAACATAGAAAAGTACAGCACAGGAATAGGCCAACCTTCTTTTTGGTTTACATCTTTCTCTAAATTTCAAATACTGAGATGAAGGTTGCCTGCAGATTATCCAGTTTGGGGAACAAAATGAAACCAGGCATGAATACACAATTGGACTATTATTTTGGGCACAGCAGAAAGAATAATGATGAATTTGTAACAGCACAACTAGAAACTTCAGCCCAACCATGTCTGCTCAACCATGATGTCCACCTGCCTGAACATAGTCCGTAGCCCTCTATTCCCTGCCTGTTCGTGTGTCTATCTAAATGCGTCTTTACCACCTCCCCCACAGTGCATTCCAGTCACTTACCATCCTCTGTTTCAAAAAACTTGCTTCGCACATCTTCTTTAAAACTTACCTCCTCTCACTTTAAACCTATGCCATCTGATATTTGACCTTTTCTCATGGGGGAAAAAAAGAGACCGACTGTCCACCTTCTCCATGCCACTCATAATTTTACATACTCCTATTAGGTCACCCCTCGGCCTCCTACACTCTGATGAAAATAATCCATGTTTGTCTAACCTTTCCTTACAGCTAATACACTGCAATCCAGGCAACATTCTGGTAAACCTCTTTTGCATCTTCTCCAAAGCCTCCACATCCTTCCTATAGTGTGGTAGGCAAAACTGCACACAATACTCCAAATGTGGCCTGATCGAAGTTTTATACAGCTGCACATGACATGTCAACTTTTATAGATAACACAGTGTGAAGCTGGAGGAACATAGCAGGCCAGGCAGCATCAGAGGAGCAGGGAAGTTGAAGTTTCGGGTCAGGACCCTCCTTCAGGAAAAAGCCTGGGGCTTTGAGAGCCCTGTTCATGCCGTTCCTAATGATCCTCCTCCCCTTTGCCCCCCCTGGTTCAAACACTCAGCTATCTCAAGAAATCCGGTGACAATCCTAAGCTTTGAGTGGGTACAATAAGGGAGCAGCCATCACTGCATTCCCATTGGTGCTGCCCTGCAATGGAGCTACTGGATTCGGAGCTGCCAAACGTTCTGAGAGTTTGGGGTTTTCATTCCAAGGTAAAAGGCCCATTTATGTCAAGTGCCTGAGTAGGACTGAAGCAGCAGGTTTTCACAGCAGGTACTTTGGAATTCACTAACCAGTGGGTAAACCCCGCCCCACCCATCACCTTTATTATTTTCATCCCGCGAAGCCTTACAACAGTAGGAGATCGTTCAGCCCATTGTGACTGTGCTACTTCTATGAAGGTGGTATACAACTCCCTTTTGAAAGTTCTTTTTTTTTTAATGTTCATTCATGAGATGAGGGCATCACCAGAGGCAGTTAAGAGTCAAACTTGAGTCTGGAGTCACATATAGGCCACACCAGGTAAGGATGGCAGTTTC